CCCCAGGCCTCCGGACAGTGGCTCTCGTGGCTGCGCGGTGCAAGCTGGCCGCGGCGCCCAGTGTAGACAGCGCTTGGTGTAGACGTAGTGCCTGGTGTAGGTAGAGAGCCCGGTGTAGAGCCTGCGCTTGGCGGAGACGCAGCACCTCTTGTAGACACGGCATCTGGTGTAGACACAGCGCCTGGTACAGACACAGCACCCGGTTAGTCAGTGCTTTGGTGTAGACGTAGCACCTGTGTGGCAGGATCCTTTACAAAGAGAGATGGGACACCGAGGCTTCTTTGCCAGGAAGCAGTGTTTATTCGTGCCGGCACCGGCTCAGCGAATTCACATCCAAAGGCTGAGCTCCGAGCGCAGGGGGGCACTGCCTTTTATGCATTTTCAGCTTCTTTGGCCCCCTTATAAGGTTACATATTGTTAATATACATCGTAATTGGGTATTTCAAGGTTGCAGCAGGGTTACACGTGCATTACAACTTGGGCCACATTCCTTTCTGTCTAACATAATTTTTTTCTTTTTTGGGGAAAATCCTTATCTTATTATCTCTATTCTGGGAAGATCCTTATCTTGTTGTGCTAGGAGGGCCCCTGCCTCATTCCCCCCTTTGATGCCTGAATCCCGTTTTAGGGTTATAGAGCATCACTTTGGTTTAAGAGTTTGTACTTCCATAACAGCATTACATGTGCTGCTGCTTTCCTTTCGACCATGGCCTCAATGAGCTAGACAGGGCAGGATTAGACAAATTCCCAACATCATGAGTACAATGCCTATGAGGGTTTTTAAATCCCCCCAAAGTTGAGAACCAACCTCCAAACAATTCTCCAGGGTCCCATCCTTTCCAGGTTTGGACCAGGACATGAGCAATTTTCCTCATCATTTATTTGTAAGCAGCAGTTGCTTAAGTTAAACTTTCCACAAACCCTTTCTTTTTTTTTTTTTTTGAGTTGGAGTCTCACTCTGTCGCCCAGACTGGAGTGCAGTGGCTGCTCCCAGCCACCACAGCCTCGACCTGTCGGGCTCCGGCCATCCTTCCGCCTCAGCCTTCCAAGCAGCTGGAACTACAGGCGCGCGCTACCATGCCCGGCTAATTTTTGATTTATTGTAGAGATGAGGTTGCCCAGGTGGGTCTCGAACTCGCGGGCTCAGGCAATCCTCTCACCTCAGCTTCCCAAGGTGTGGGATTACAGGCTGAGCCACCGGCCCGGCTATACCAACCCTTTCTTCAGAAACAAGCAAATAATCTGAGGCTAAGTGGTTTTGGTAAATAGCGTTGCACATCTTAGTCTGCTGTTTGGCTAACACGTTAAGGGCTTTTGCAGTTTCATTAGTTATAATTTCAACAACCGCCTGTCATCGAGTTATGTGGTTTAGCCTGGAAATGGGGTTTGATAGCCCCAAGATCCATCCTGTGCCCAGGTAGCTGGGCCTTAGCATTGGATAATACACTCAGGGGGCCATTCGTCGTCTTTCCAGTTGCCAACTTGTAGTGCATGCCACTTTCTTTGGGAGTCCCAGTTTTTATATACTTGGACCCCCAGTTGTTTTCCTTGGCAAGCGGGAGCAGGAAAATGAAGGTCTGATAGACCCTGACACAAGCTCCTGACCAACCTGGGGGAAGTACAGTGTAGGCTACTTTCCCACATATCCGGTGTGATTCATGTGGACTCCGCCTTTGATGTTTGTGTCAATAGAGTTCCATGCCTGTTGGAAGCAAGGGAAGTCAGACAAAGGGTGGGGTTCGGTTCAGGATGGTTTGGGGACCCCCACCAGTGAGTCTCTTTGGTGGTGGCATCGTAGAACCTTTGGTCTAAGCATGTCAGACTTCCAGCAGGAGTGTTAACCCTTCTTCCCCACTGGGCAAGGCAGTTCTTTTCTACAGGTGAGGTTTCAGGTCGCCAGCTTCCGTCGGCGGGCTAGGGACCCTGGCTCGTCGTGGGGCTCTCGGCGCCCGCTCCCTCGCCTCCCATAGCCATTGATCTTCATGTTAGTTTCCCCACACATAACAAGAAGAGACGTCCAGAGACTGGGCGCAGATGTTTGGCCGTGTTGCAGATGGGAGGGGGACTACTTTCTATTTCTTTACAGAAGGACTGAAAGACCTCATGGGAGGAGACTTGGGTGGGATCGTGATCCTTTCAAAATATAATATGGTTCCAGGGCCAAAACTTCACCTGTGGATGCGTATGCCAGTCCGACTGCCTGTTTTCCATCCCGGATTTTCCGGGTTAAGGATGGTAAAATTAATGGGGCTACAGGATCCTGATTTACAACCAGAGGCGGCAGCACCCTTTTGAAGGAGAGCAGTTTTATGTTAGCCTTCCCAGGTGGCCCATGAAACACAACCTCGGTAAGGACAGAAGTGTTCAGTATAATCAGCACATGGGGACCGCCTTCCATTTACAGGATACTCACACATATATTTGTCATTAAATCTATATTCTCTGTCCTAGGTCAAGATCCCGCATGATGTAGTACTGGTGCTGTGAGCTACAGCATATCCCTAGGTTTCGTTCATAACTGCACAGGCATCAAAAAGTACCAACACCAGTTGGTGGGGATTGATGCTTAGGGTCTGGCTGGTTAAATGCCCTCTCTCTTTGGTGCAACGGACCTCTAACCAGTCTTCGCTTGGGGGGTATTATGGGTTGAAACAAGTACACAGATTCTCCTGTTGGCAAATAGAATAGGTGATCTTGTTGTGTCCGCAGGTCCCTGAGATTGTTCCCTGACAAGAGAAATGGGTCTGGTAAAGGAGGGCCCAGGTAACTCCCTGGCCCGACATGGTTGTGTGAATACATGGGTCACATGAGGCAGAGTGTTTTGAAGTAATGAGGGGGAGCCAGATTAGTAACAATAGACAATGGCTATACACCCTGTTCAAGAGAGGTAAAAGAATGCTATCAGTAACCTTTTGCCATGAGTCCAGCTGTCTGGAGCGACTGTCGCTAAACCTGCAGTGAAAACTAAGGCAAGAATTATAGCAACAGACACTACCAAGGGATGACACTGTATTACAGTAGAAACAGTCTGTCTGTCAAATGACTGATTCCTCAGGCTTCTGCCGTGTGTAGATTAGTCAGCTTCCAGAGTGACTAAAACAGGGCTGCAGTCCTCTGGGGTCCTGGGCTTATAGCTTGCTTTAGTTGGATGGTTAGCTTCCCTGGTGCTGATGGATCAGCAGTGCACTCCCAGTCTTGGAAGGCCAGTTTCACTCTGCTGTGATGAATCCAGGGGCCCACCTCCACTACCTTTATTGCAGTGGGGGTGGACAAAATGACAGTAAACGGACCTCTCCAAAGGGGCTTTGGGGGCTGGATATTCCATTCCTTTATCCATACAGCATCTCCTGGTTTAAAGGAGTATCTGTGGTTAAGCTCACAGGTAACTGTTCCCTAACCCAATGATGTATAGGGGTGAGGGTCAAGTCTAGAGCCTGCATTTGCTGTTTTAGAGTAACATTGCCCACCTCCTTTAAATCTCCTTTTATACCTTCGATAATGGGGAGAGGGCACTGATAAAGAATTTCAAAAGAGGAGAACCCTGTCTGCTTAGTGGGGCTAGACCTGATTCTTAGCAAAGCAGTTTTCTGACGCAGTTTACTTAGTTGAAGTTTTGGAGTTCAGTTCGTTTGTTCCACCACCTTACCGTAGCTCTGGGGGCGATATGCAGTGTGATTGTACTGATTGTATCACTTCAGCTATAAATGCTGACCCATTGTCTGATCCTATAGTGAAGTGATTGGGATTCCAAATCGGAGAATGGTTTCTTTTAGAAGCAGTTGTGCTACTTCCTGTGCCTTCTCCATGCGGGTAGGAAAGGCCTCTAGCCCGAGAAGGTGAATACAAAAACTAACAGATATTTTTTACAGCCTCAGGCCCGGGGAAGCTCAGTGAAGTCCACACTATGTTCTCAAATGGGGGGCCTCCAACACTTTGCACTCCTGGAGGGATCCTAGGCCCCTGCCCCAGGTTATTTTGGGTACATATGTCACATTGCTCACATACTGCACACACACTGCACGGGCTATGCTGGAGAGTCAGGGAATGTAAAGGAACTGGCCTAATGTGCTAATGTGGTCTTGAGAGTTGTCTGGCCTGTATGGGTTTCTTTTTTTTTTTTTTTAGTTGGACTCTCACTCTGTCACCCAGACTGGAGTGCAGTGGCTGCTC